ATGACATGAGATACAAAAATATAGAATAAAATTTTATGTGATGCTTAAACAGCTGCAAATTTAAAGTTAAGCAAATTATTTCTATATTTGTGGTGTTAAATTATGCATAAAAATATTATTTATATATTTAATAACACATTGGATCAAAATATGCATTCCATATAATATTGATATTTTGCACAATGCATATTTCAAAATTTAAAGAAATCAAGCCTAGAAAAAATTTACCCAAAATAGGGTTTGATTTCTATAGACAAGCCTTTTTTAAAAAAAAAACAACAACAACAACAATTCTCGGTACCTAGAAGAAATGTGCTAAGATGAGGGACCTGTTTGACTCTGAGAACTTTGGCCTAGACGCCTCACATGAGCTTTCAACTCTCTCATCTCTCTCCTCATCTCTCATTGCTCTCTCAAAATCTCAAACAATATCTGACTATCTGTCTTGGGATCAGTATTTTTTATCCAATGGTACTTCAAAATCCTCACCCAAATTGAGGAACTAATCCCATTGCTCCTCCCCCTGTGGCATTGCCTCCTATGTAGCCTCCTCCTTTTGCTGAGTCGCTTGCCCTCGCTCTCGCGACAACCTAGTCATACTCTGACTCTTCAAAAGAGAGCCAGAGTTGAGCACCACTACCTTTTTGGCCCCATCCATGGTGGCATCAATCACCACCCTAGCTTGCTCACATAATGTCGTGGCCAGGCCTACAAATGGGATGGACCCCTTTTTTGGGTCCATGATGGAGCATCTCATCTCGGTAAATATCAGTGAGGGAAGGTCAATAGACTGCCCAGTACCCATGACATATAAAAGACAGGCTCGATAAAGGAAAATATTATTATTTCTCAACAGGGGAGAAATATTAGACACCTAGCTAAACTTAAGGATTTTATACTTGCTAGTCAAATCCCCTTGCTAAAGAAATCTCAAGTTTGCAATCCAAACAAAAACTTCGTCCCTAAGTAACTTTTTCCCAACTACATCACCGACATAGTTTTGGGGATAATCAGGATTGGTCACCCGAGCCTGAAGCATCCTAGTCAATCGGGCAATGGTAGTGGCATCGACTCTGATCTTCTTACCCCAGACATACGTGTGAAACAAGCCATTGCTACAATCATCCGCATTGCTATAAAACTCCCTCGCAAAAACACGTATACATGGCCACTCCCGCCCCACAGTCTCGAACATATAATGTCCTGAATCCCCAATCGAGCAAAATCTTCATACTCTATTTGACGCTCTTGCATAAAAGGCTTGGTGGAATAGTACTGAAAAAATCTTACCCAGACCTCTAAAGTCTCGAAACGAACGGGATCAAATGTGGTATCCTCCTCTTCTTGGGGTTCTTGGGTGGTAGTTCGAGGCTATTTAGAGTTTTATGCCCTTGGTGGTGCCATAGGGTAGACAAATGATGGAGACACTACTTAGAAAATGCGAGGGAAGTTTTGTATTTCAGTTGAGGAGAGTGTGAAATAAAAAAATTTGTTTAGGCTCCATGTATTTATAGTTTTTCTCACACGTCCGGACGCATGGGGTTCAACCGTTCGGACGTGCCTCAACTAACACAATAATTAGCCTCAAATAGCATGCGTCCAGATGCATGATCAAGTCACGTTCGGACGCACCTCCTGAATTTGAAATGATTAAGATTCACATCCAGACGCCTGATGAAATCACGTCCGAATGTGTATTCCAGAGAGGGCTGCTTCTTTTATCCTTGTCTGGATGCATTTTCCAGTATGTTTTGTTCTATGTTGTGTGTGTCCGGACGCGTTGTCCAGTGAGTTGCTCATCCCATACTTTTAAGTGTTAACCTTTTTCCTCCTAAGTTGATACATTTTGATCCCAAAAACTATTTAAACCAAAAAAAATTCAAATTTTTTTTTCTTCCAATAAAAACAAAATATTGTAGATGCATCAACACAGTGTATAGTTAATAATAAAATAAATCCAGCATTCTCACCCCCCACTCAAAAGCTTACATTGTCTCCAATGTATGAGTAATCATAAAACTAAATATGGGTAAAGAAGAACATACCAGATGCGTTTATACTGTGCACGTGAATCTGCAATATTTTAGAAGATAAAAGTGAAAGAAAACAAGCATACAACAATTTATAGTAAGATTCAAAAAATTGTTAGAGACGAATCATTCATAGCGGGGATCCACCAGTTCGATGGATTCCACTTCAACTATACCTTCTTCCAAGAATGGTTTCAATCACTGCCCGTTAACTTTAAATGTATTCTTATTCTTGAGATTTTCAATCTTTACTGTTCCATATGGGAAAAATTCTTTAACAATATATGAGCCACTCCATCTAGTTTGAAGTTTTCCTTTGAAGAGATGTAATCTAGAATTTTACAAGAGAATTTTTTGTGAAGGTGTAAAAATTTTACGCAAAATATTTTTATCATGGAATACCTTCATCCATTCTTTGCTAATCCTAGAGTTCTCATAAGCCTCATTTTGAATCTACTCAAACTCATTTAATTGTAATTTTTCGTAAGGTGCTAGCTTTGTCAATACTAAAATTAAACATCTTAATGGCCCAATATGCCTTATTTTCCAACTCCACAAGTAAGTGACAAGCTTTTTCATACACCAATCTATACGGAGACATGCCAATCGGGATTTTGTAAGTAGTTAGGTATGCCCATAACGCATCAGTTGGTCATAATGACCAATTTTTACGATCAAGGTTAACCATTTTTTTCAAGATATAAGAAATTTCTCGATTGGCTAGCTTTGCTTGACCACTTGTTTGTGGGTGATAGGGGGTTGCTACTTTATGTGGTTACACCATATTTTTTTCATTAAAGATTCAAAAGATTTATTGCAAAAATGCAATCCCCCATTACTAATAATGGCTCGAGGTATACCAAATCTGGAAAAAAATATTTTCTTTCAAAATTTTCAAATTAACCTTATGATCATTTGTCCGATATGGTATAGCTTCGACCCACTTTGAGACATAATCTACTACCACTTATATATATATATATATATCCAAAAGATGGGGGAAAAAGTTCCATGAAATCAATGTCCCAACAGTCAAAATTTTCTATTATCAAAATCGGATGAAGAGATATCATATTTCTACGGGTTAATCCCACAAGTCATTGACAACACTCGCAAGCCTTACAAAAATTATATGCATACTTAAAAAATGTTGGCCAATGAAATCCACACTACAACACCTTTGCAGCGGTCTTTTTCATTGAGAAATGGCCTCCATATGCTCTTGTATCACAAAAAGATAGTATACTACTTACCTCATCATTGGGCACACATCTCCGGATGATTTGATCTGAACAGTACTTAAAGAGATATTGATCATCCCAAAAAAAGTTCCTTTTTTCAACTAAGAATTTCTTCTTATCCAAAGCAATCCAAGATGGTGGTATATTACTTGTAACTAGAGAAATTCACAATATCAACAAACCACGGTATTAAAGAAATTGCCAACAGTTGTTCATCAGGGCATGTATCCTTGATTGACATCGTCTCTATTGGCACATCACTCACAAGTCTAGACAAGTGTTAAGCCACTACATTCTCTACTCCTTTTTTTTTTTTTTATCTTTGATTGTTATGTCAAATTCTTGGAGTAGGAAGATCCACCTAAGCAATCTTGGTTTTGCATGATCTGTGAAAATAATGATGGGGGATCCTACTAAATAAGACATAAACTTGTCTAGGGAAAACACTACTGCTAGTAATTCTTTTTTTTTTTGTAGTAGAATAATTCATTTTTGCATTATTTAAAGTCCTACTAGCATAGTATATGACATGTGGCTTTTTCACATTTCTTTGCTCTAAAATTGCCCCTACGATGTAGTCATTAGCATCACAAATGATTTCAAAGCGAAGACTCCAATTTGGGGGTTGCATAATTGGAGCAGTGATGAACATGTCTTTTAGCTTTTCAAAAGCTTCTTGGCATGACACATCCCACTCAAAAGGTGTGTCTTTTCCTAGGAGGTGGCAAAATGGTCTAGATATTGAATTAAAATATTTTATAAACCTCCTAAAAAAACCTGCGTGACCTAAAAAAGATCTGACATCCTTAAGGTTTTTGGGGGTAGGTAAATTAGCAATTAACTCAACCTTAGCTCTATCTACCTGAATTCCTTCTAAAGAGACAATATGACCAAGAACAATTCCCTTTCGAACCATAAAGTAACATTTTTTCCAATTAAGCACAAGGTTCTTTTTTTCTAATTATATAAGCAATCTTTCAAGATTTGACAGACAGTCATCATAGGAATCACCAAAAACAGTAAAATGATTCATAAAAACTTTAAGAAAACATTCAACCATGTCACTAAAAATACTTAGCATGCACCTCTGAAAAGTCGCAGGTGCATTGCAGAGTCCAAAAGGCATCCTTTGATAAGCAAAGGTACCAAAGGGACAAGTAAATATGGTATTCTCTTGGTCTTCTAGGGCAATTTCAATTTGGTTATATCCCGAATAACCATCTAAAAAATAATAGTACATATGCGATGCTACCCTTTCTAAAATTTGATCCATAACAGCTAAAGGGAAGTGATCTTTTCTAGTTACAGAATTTAATTTCCTATAGTCAATACACATTCTCCAACCAGTTAATGTCCTAGTTGGTACAAGTTCATCATTTTTATTAGCAACTACAGTGACACCAGATTTCTTTGGGACTACCTATATAGGACTTACTACAATAGGGTAAATCATTTCTACATCTAACAATTTTAGCACTTCTTTCATATGTGGGTTTATTCTCCTTTGCATCTCCCTAGATGATTTAGCATTATCTTCCAAGTAAATCTTATGAGTGCAAACTAATGGACTAACCCCTTTTATATTAACTAGGGTCCAACCAATGGCATTTTTATGCTATCTAAGAAGTTGTAACAACATACCTTCTTGTGCCGAATTTACATGAAAATAAATTATTACTGGATATGTCTCATTATCTCCTAAAAATGCATACTTTAAATCTACTAGTAACTACTTCAAGTCAAGCTTGGGAGGTTTTTCACTAGATGGAATTGGTGGATTGGTTCTTGGTGGAAGTTCTTCAAATTTTTGTCTCCATTCCTTTATTTCAAGAACCTGTGAAGAATTCAACAAATTAACTATCTCAGAAATTTCAGAATTATCATCATTCGCCTCTAACAACGAAGGATGTTCCAGCAAGCATGCTTCAAGTGGATCAATCAAAGAAGATTCATATATTCTGCTAAGAATAATGGACTCAATCATATTAATTTCATGCACATCCTCATCAATATCCCGTGGTTGTTTGCACACATTAAAAATATTAAGTTCTAATGTCATATTCCCGAAAGATAGCTTCATCACACAATTCCTACAATTGATTAGAGCATTAGAAGTAACTAAGAATGGTCCGCCTAATATGACAGGAATTTGAGCATTAGAACTTATCACAAGTTGAGTATCCAAAATTATAAAATCTACAAGAAAGTAAAAAATTATGAACCTGTACTAAAACATCTTTCACTATATCCCTCGATATTTTTACTAATCGGTTAGCCAGCTGAAGTGTTACTGAGGTGGGCTTTAGCTCCCCTAACCCTAGTTGCTCATAAACTATATAGGGAAGCAAGTTTACACTAGCTCCCAAGTTCGATAGAGCTTGCTCAATTTTATGGTTATGTATAATACAAGAAATAGTTGGGCAACCTAAGTCTTTATATTTTGGTGGAGTCCATGTTGTATGATAGAAGATACTTGTTCAGTCAAAAATGCCTTCTTTTGCACATTTAGTTTTCTTTTAACAGTACATTATTCTTTCAAAAACTTTGCATAAGAAGGTATTTGTTTAATGGCATCCGATAAGGGAATATCAATTTTTACTTGCTTGAAAATTTCTAACATATCATAGTGCATGTTTGACTTGACATAAGTAAGCAATCTTTGTGGGAATGGTATAGATGGAATATACTTCTCAGGCTTAATGATTTCAAGTTGGTCAAGTCTATCACCACTCTCCGTAGATTTTGAAATTTCATCAGATTCTTGAACTTTAGTAGGAATATTTTTATCAATGACTTTCCCACTATGGAGTGTGGTGATAGACTTTACTTGCTCATGAGTAGTGTCAAATGGGCCCGTCCCACTTACATTAAATTGACCCTATGGATTTGGTTGAGGTTGGGTAGGAAACTTACCCTTTTCTTGATGGCAGGGGGTAGTGGTCAACTTAGTGCGTGCATTCCTGATATCATTAATAGCATGTGTAGTCTAATTGTTATAATTGGCCTGACTCTGCATGAATTGTGTGAATGCTTCCTCAAAGTTCCTCTTTTGGGGTGGGATATAGGGAACAAAATTAGAGGAATTTTGTGGAGGTACTTGTGATGCATGATTATCGCCTCTCCAACTAAAGTTTGGATGATTTTTCCACCCAGGGTTGTATGTGTTAAAATATGGGTTGTTATACGGCTTTGAAAAAGTATTTGCAACATTTGCTTGATCAGGCAAAACTTTTTTTAAAATTAGGGATTGTTGGACACTCCTTTATGCGGTGCCCAAGGATCTCACAAAGGCTACAAATTTCCTCAGCAAGAACAGTTTTAATTTCATTAACCTTTTTAAACTCCATGGCTTCAACCCTTCTAGCTAATGTGGCAATTCTAGCCCTTAGGTCATCCTTATCCCTTAACTGATACTTACCCCCACTTGATGATGCTTGGGTATTCTTACTCTTAGGAGGTTATTGGGATGCAGTATCCCAAGATTGTGTATTCTCGGCTAAACAGTCTAAGAAGTCAAAGGCCTCATTTGGTTCTTTATTCATAAAGTCACCATTGCACATCATCTCAACAAACTGGCGCATTTGTGGGGTTAATCTTTCATAAAAGAAACTCAATACATGCCAGCTCTAGTAACCATGATGTGGGCAAGATGCAAGAAGTTCTTTAAATCTATCCCAACTTTGATAAAAATTCTCAGACTCTTGTTTGGGAAAAATTCATTATTTGCCTTTAAAAAGAATTTGTACAATGTGTAGGAAATTTTTTTTTCAAAAATTCTTTTTGCATCTCAGGCCATGTATCTATGGACCCAAGTCTGAGTGAATGCAACCAAGTCTTTGCTTTCTCCTTTAATGAAAAAGAAAAGAGTTTCAAAAACAGTCTGATTGTGGAATGTAGCACATACCTCTTCAAAGTCTCTAATATGCAAGTACGAATTTTCTGACTCCATGCCATTAAATTTAGGGAGTAATGCAATTATGCCAGGTTTTTTAATGGGAAGATGATGCATGAAGGCGCAGTGAGATGTGCAGGTTGCAGATATTCATGCAAGGTCTGACCATGATTAGCATTCAAATTATCCACATTATTCTCATCGTGATTACTTATCCTATCCTCATGATCCTCATGTTCAAGAAAATTATTTCTCCTATTATTGTATGATTTGAGTCAGATGAATCAAAGAGATGTACAAACAGAGTATCTAAATCTTCTCTTATTAAATAACCACTCAAATCACGATGCAAGAGCTCATAAAACAGTTAACAGAAATAAATTAAAACAGTAAACAAAATTTAATAACAAAAGACAATAATTTTCAACAAAATAAAAAAATGAAACGAAGTTACCGGATCTCCGACAAATCGTAAATACCAAAAACCTTAATAGATGTACTGGCGGCTCCTTATCTTTCAACAATTTCCTGGCAATGGTGCTAAAAACTTGCTACAACTTTAAATCTGTAAACCCAAGCACAGGTTGTGCGAAGTAATATATTTCTCAGAAATTCAAGGTCGAACCCTCAGGGAATTGTGAAAGCAACCGAAACCACACTAAAATTCTTAAAAGAAAACTTGAAAGGATGTTTTGAAGGAATATTTGAGTGAATAAATTTTGATTAAAATAATTTAAATAGTATGAAAAATACTAGAGCATCAGGTACTCGCTTTCAAATTCATACAACAATGATTAAAGACTTAGATTTTTAAATTAGACAAGAATCAAATGTTGTTCGACTCATGCCACCAGATTTAGCAGTAAGACCAAGAAAATACCTTTGTTTATAATCAGAATTTTGTTCAAGAACCTGAGTAATATTCCAATTATATTATTATGTGAAATATGTGTAATCAACTTAAGCGTGGAATAACCAGTTATTTGACTCACAGGGACATTCAAGAATTCGATGTTCGTGACATACGAATCAAGAAGTTATACAGAGCAAAAACTTTACTGAAAAATCAAAAGTTGAATAAACAAAATATCACATATCATTAAGCTCATAAGTCAATAACATTACCGTACTTCATTGAGAGACTTTCCCCTAGCCCTAGCTGAACTCTCTAGCCTGACATGATAACAATAAATCAAAAGAATAAAAATAAGGGACTTTAAGAAAAGGTCCCCTTTACACAGATGTCATCCTCTATTTATAGGGTTAAGTGGGAGAAGACCTAGTTAAAATCAAATTTCATCACTGGCGTTGGTAGCTGTAAACACGCGTCCGGATGTGTATTCTCATCCGTCTGGGCGCAACGTCCAGTAAGCTTATTTTTTTCTTCTTCTACCTTCTGTTACTCGCTTCCGTACGCAAAACCTTCCACCGTTCGGACGCCACTTCCAATGAGCCTCTCCTCAGCCTGCTTCCTTTCTTGCTTTATGTTTTCGATTCTTAAGCCATTTTTCCTGCAAAATAAGCTCATCTTAACCAAAATTAGTATAGCATTAATTCTTTAATAACTTCTCATATTTACCAACTTTTCCTATCTAAATAAACAATCTTTCACAACAATTAATGGAAATATTAGATCTTAATCAGCCATCATCTTGTAATAAATGTTTGAAGTGAAAATATAGAACCATAACATTACCAACATGTATGAGTAATAAATCAATTTGTATCGACACGAAGGTGAAACCAATTAATTGGAATCACTTACTTGAATAAAATCCAAACCACCAAGCATTGGGCCTTCAACTACACACGCAGTCTGTGTGTCCCAAATAAACATGCCACTGTTTAACATCTCAGTAATGCTATTATATTGGCACTCCCAGAAAGGGATTGCCCTCAACATATCACTCATAGATAGATGAAATCTTGGCATCGTTCGTTGCATACGTTTAAATAGTGCATCAAGTAGCCTTTTTGAATACTTGCTTGCTTCAGGTAATTTCCCGTGATTCTTAAACTCAACTAATAAGTCAAGCATGACATTAACTTTATCTTCAGTTAGGTCTGGAAGCTTCATTGTTAACGAATACCACAACAATTAATATATATATATATATATATATATATATATATATATATATATATATATATATATATATATATATATATATATATATATATATATATATTTTCAAGTCATCATAAATAACCATACATACCTAGGAAATAGTCATATGGATAGTAAAACAGAAAAGTTCTTAAACAAGTTACAAAGTCATACAAAAGTCATCAACAACCTATATATGATAAACATACAAAATTCATCCAAATCTACGCAAGAAGTAGATGATATGGGTGACCACCACACCCAAAACCAATACAACAACATACTTTACACACGTAAAGAACTGATGATCCTGGAATGGTGTAGGTGTTGATACATTAATGTACGTTGTATCTTTAGAAAGTTGATTCCCAAGTTAAACGTCATTCAAAGGTTGCACCTCTATTGTACCATCATGTTGTTCAATTTACATTCACTTTCTTGTCGCGATCATTCCATTCAAAACCTAATGTGCTTAGAATTGAAAACAAAGAGTTGTATTGTTTTTTCTAGGCTTTAATTTTTGATTCAATATGTGGTGATGCCCGAAGGTCAGTCGCTGGGAATGCATACTTTAAGTTGTGCTCTAATGTTTGATGATAACCCGGGCGAAACGTGGCATTCTGACAATTCCATCCATTGACAGAAAGTTATTTAAATGCTTGAATGAGAGTAGCCTCCTCTGCAGCAGTCCATGTTTAGCATGGACCATGCTTTACTTGACTGATGGCACCAACACTTGACATGACCTACTTACATATGTACATGCCACATACCATTAAATAATCGAAAAACACATGAATATATATGACTTGGCTAAAGTAATCATAAGAAAAAATAGTTCACATAAATTTGACCCATTAACTACATACAACATAATTGATCTATTACTAAAAATTTGGTAAAGCATTTAGCCACCCCTACTTTTACACCATTCATTGTACATATTGTTGGCTAGTTGG